TCAGACACATAGCAGGTACTCCATCAACATCTACTAAATGTATTAACATGTTAGACCTAATATGCTCAATGAATAGTAAAGAATATTTGCTTTATTATTCATGCTCCTAGGGCTGGTGGGCTGGGCACGGGGCAGGGGAATTCGTGGGCTGCTGTTTTAAGTCCTCATCTTTCAGGCCGGTTTAACGACTGCGGTCTTTCTAAGATGTCACTTTGGTTAACATTTCAGCGCATGCTACGTTCTGCCCGTGACTGATTTTGAGAATTTAAATCCTGAAATGCACCAGTGGGAGACTTCATGGATGATGGCTGGTGCTGAAGAGATTCAGTGATCACGACTGTTTCAACATTGCTGGGATTCTTGATTTTGAGGTACGAAGAGCAGAGGGAGGCAGCAGTCAGTCAGTAAGAAGACGCTGAGTCAGGAGAGGCAGGAGTTAAAGTGCGCGCTGTGCCCCATTTAATAAAGTGTGTTATAGCCAGTGCCACAAATTTGATTTGAACAATTTCTATTTTTCCCGGCAAAGATGTTATTATAGGTCAATCATTTCCATAAGTGCCAGCACATTTCTGGTGTATACTACACTGACAGATGGTTAGGAGACCTCTCTTTCATGATCCCAGGTGGAATAAAAAGGCAATTTACTGTCTATAGGACTATGGGTACACTGGTAATGGAAGAGAATCATTCTTATACAAATAACTCAGTGTTTGAATCTGAACTATCAAATGAATCTGAGCTATAGCCAAATCAATTTGATAAACTATCAGAATATGATTGTACTGGCTCCAGCTTGCACAGGCAATGCATTAAATTTTTCCCACAGGAAACTCTTTCCTGAAAAATAGCAATTGCTTGATTGCTTAAAAAAAAACAACTTGAGTGAGCTCAGAATATCAGGTGAAAACTCAGATGGCCACTGCCATTCAAGGTCAAGACTCATGAGGGGGAAATCAGGATTCTAGGCTGCTCCTCTGGAACTTGATGGAGCTTGTCTGTGTGCTTCGGGCTTTATCTGAATCTATTTCTCTCTGCAATGGAACGTCTCGCCCTCACACCCTTAGGTGTTCAGAGGCTCCCTGTTCTTCCTTCAGCTAAAGCTTTTGCCTTCAGGAAAGGAGTTATCTTTGTTTTGGGTGCCCTCCCCTTAACTCTCTTAGGATTTTTTGTACGTATCTATTGTTGGGGATGAAGATTCATATTTAGCTCATGGAGGAGACGTTCTAGAGAAAAAGGTGAGGCTTTTCGATTCCCAGCATTGGTGCTAAGGCAGTGATTCGCAGTGTGCTTTCTGGACCAGCAAATCAGCTTTACCTTGGAAGTTATTAGATACGCAGTTTTGCAAGCCCATTCCTAACTTGCTGAATCAAAAACTCTGGGTATGGGGGCCAGCTATCCTGGCTTTTACTAGCATGCCAGGGGAGTTTGATGTATGATCAAATCTAGAACCACTGCTTGAGAGCAGTTGAGAACCACTCTTGCTGCTGAGGTGGCTCATAGCGGAGGCCTATTCTGGGAATTGTTCTTGTTTGGCTCACCCAAGATTTGACTCCTACCCAAGGATAGCCTGCACCCAATGACTGTTGATGAAGAGCTGTGGCCCCTCGACTTAATTCAGTACAACTTTGAAGGGCCCTCTTAACTCCAGAGCTCCCCACAGGATCAGCTGAGGCTTCTGTTGCAAATGTGTTGCTGTCAACTTCCCTCTTGGCCTGATTCTTCTTGCATCAAGCATTTCCCAGTAAACCTCCTGCATACAAATGCCAATATTGCTGTCTCATTTGTGGGGAGGGAATCTGATCCAAGGGACAGGCACAGCACTAGCCTGAGCAGCATCTCCTGTGGGCTGAGCAGTCTGTGCACACTCTTTCACCCACAGCACCTGGAGTGGGCTGGTCTTCTGCGCATGCCTTAACAAATAGCTCCCAGGCCAGGGTTTAGCTTGGGCTGGCACATGAGGTTGTAGAAGTAGATGATGGGATAGGCCATAGAATCCCAGGTCGATAAGCAGAGAGGCTGGAAAGACATCTGTGAACTAATCTAAAGCCCCAGAAAGGGTGGCCTGGTGATCAATCTTCTTCCCTCTAAAAGCAGGAGAAGGAGACTAGCAATTCCTATAGGTTGAGTTTTTGGCCAGGATCTTGCACATATATCCCCATGCACTGAGATGAAAAGATGTAGAATGCATTACTACTGTCTATCCTTTAAGTCATGGCAAGTGCTTCATAATTCCTTTGGATTTTCTGTAAATTTTATTTACTCTGTTCTTGCCAGGTATGTTCCTGTGGGAAAAGGGGTGAAAAATGGGCCTGTGACTAGAGGATGTCGCAGAGCTGCTTCTGAGGGTGACATCCCTCTTCTTGATGGCATTCTTGGTAGGGCGGCTGGTGGGTTCAGATCTGTGTTCTCCATTAGACCCCCTGATGGGACACGTTGCCTACAGTGTGCGTCAGCCTGGGACCTGCTTGTGTGACCACAGGGACTTTCTTCTCTGCTGTGTGTACATATCATTCACTGGTGCCCTTAGGCTGGGAGTCTGGTGTTTATAACTATTTCCTCTTCTATTTTAGTTCGCAGCCAATTGCAGGAGCTCTAGTGAATAACTTTTATGTGTTTGATTAGACATGTTTATGTACTTTAGGCAACATGAGGTGGTGGGAATGCATGGTACGTGAGGGAGGAGACCTAGTTTCTGGTCCAGGCTGTGGCTTACGATGGCAGCATGTTCTTGAGCAGGTCACTTCCCATTTCTGGCTCTGGTTTCCTCAGCAGGATAATGAACTAGTTGGGGATTCTGTCCAGTCTGAATGTTCTCAGTGGCCGTCGGTGGTTAGGGTGCTATGACTTCACAGTGTACCTGAACAGTGTACCTGTTCAGGTGCAGAACAGGTATGTTCTGCAATAACAAATAGAGGTACTTGCTTAGGAACATTCAACCCTCCTGGGACTTTTAGCTAAGTGAAATTGACAAACTGCTGTTGTGATGGTCAAAGACATCCAAAGTACTTTCTCTAGGTTCATTTGTCTTCCAAGTACTTTAAGAATAGAAAACATTAACTAAGCTTTACAAGTTCTAAGTAGTTTGTATATTTGGACACATGGACTATGCTGGCTTTCTTCATTTGTGATGCCCCTGTCTTACTTGGTATTAACAACATGCATCATGGCCTGACACATTAAGTTATATATTTAGTTTTTGTCTGACTCCACATTATAAGAATATAAGCTTTCTGTGGGGAAAAACTTTCTTTTGTTTCTTGCTATATACAGTAGGTGGCACAGGGCTAGTTCATAAAATCTATCTGTTCAGTGAGGGAATATATAAATGTATACATACATGCACATAATATTGTTAAGCTTTCAATAATATTAGGAAATAGGTGTTACTGTTTTTGCCACTTTTTGAGGTGAGGAAACCAAGGCCTCGAGAGATGTAGGACTGGTGCTACACTGAGGGAGTCGGCTCTGGCACCTCTGCTTTAATCATGCTCGCACTTCCTCCTCTTATATTTCTTTAAATTTCTTTTCTTCAAAGATGCAAAGTCTCATGTGTGGGTCACAACATGTCCTTTATCATCAATATAACCATTTCAGGAGTTCCTGCTCCATCCTACAGGGTCTAGTGTTATTTATAAACCCACTAAGTCCGACATAGAAAAGAACCTTGAAGATAACATACATAGGTTCCAGCCAGAAGAAGAATGTAAGCTTTTTGGTGATAATAAAAGTGATGTCGACAGATGATAGGTAGGCAGATAGGTATACATGGTCCCTTATTCTGACTGCCAAATACGAGGTGCGGAGTAGTGGCTGCCTTGTGCTCAAACTGACCTTAGGCGGGCTGCGTAAGGATCATCTGGAAAATCTTTAGATTTGTCCATGTGTTTGTCTGGGTTTTTTGCTCACTGTTTCTTCTGGCATCTGACTCCTCCTTTCTGGGTTCTTTTCTGCTTCCTGAAGTACTTGTCAGTAGATGTAGTAGGTCTTTCTTAGAGCCCCAGAAAACATTTTTAAAAATCTCTTGCAGATTTTGGTCCCTGCAGTCGCGAAGGTCACAGAAGAAAGAACTTGCTATTGACTGGGGAAGAGGTGGGAATTGGAATGGCCCCTGTGGAAGGGCAGGGGCTGAAGGAAAGAGAACAGGGACAAGTCACGCTGGGAGGGAGAGATGGAGATGAGGAAGCAACAATAGAAAGAAAGGTGCTGAGGCAGGCCTATGAGGCACTGAATGTGTCCGAGGAGATCGGGAATTGAGGCAAAGCAGATTCAGCGATTAATGTGTGTATGTCTCTCACTCGGTTGAGGGAAACTTCTGCACATTGAGGGTAAGGAAGGAGATTGTGCTTTTCTTTCCAGGGAAGAGATGTCTGGCAGAGTGCATAAGAGTTTATACTGACTCAGACCAGTTGGGTGTTAAATTCCTGCTCTAAAATTTACATGACCTTGGGTAAATTAGTTAATCTTTCCAGGGAAGCTAGTTTTTCCTCCTCTAAAGTGGGAGTAATAGCTCCCTATAGAGGTTACTGTAAGGATTAAATTAGAAAATGCATCTCAAGTTTTGTAACACTGTCTGGGACTTGGTAAGTACTTATTAAATGTTATTCCCTGGATGGTGTGGCTCAGTGGGCTGAGTGCCAGCTTGTACACCAAAAAGTTGCTGGTTTGATTGGGTTGCAGGCCAGGTCCCCCAGTTGGGAGTGTACGAGAGGCAATCCATCAATACATCACACATCAATATTTCTCTTCCTCTTTTTCTCTCTCCCTGCCCCCTCTCTAAAAAATAAACAAATAAAAGTAAAAATTTAAATGTTATTGTTATTTTATTGAAAATTAGAACGTGGATGACTTCTTAATTGTACCTGTACATCCTTGCAGATGACACAGATAAAAATTGACCTTGATTGCAAGCCCTGTCTTGAAACTTCTGTGAATTGGAGAAAGTTAACTTCTAACTTATACACACCAATCTTTTGTAGGTGGTAATGGGGCAAGCTACTCACAGAGTGACTGGTCCAGAGGCTCCTTGGAAAACATCATTAGGCAATTCTTTCAAATTGTTGTTATCACTTAGATTCCTGGGGCCGGAGTTGAGGAAAGAAGAAGAAAAACACAAAGTCACATAAACATCACTGTTGTAAGAGCCATTTCCCTCCAAATGGCCTGGAAGAATAGTCAGGGCTACTTACAGCTCATCTAGTTGGGTTCCATTGAATGCACAGTTGTGTATTTCTTCAATCCCATTCTTACTCAGCCATCTGAAATAAAAGGCCCATTAAAAAACCAATAATGTCAGATGCAAACAATACAGGGTTTCATAATTGGAAGCACTGGGGCAAGGTTAGACAGCACAGGTTAGGCCATAAATAAAATGCCACCCTTAAGGCCTGGGGACAGGGTGGATGGGAGACTGATTTATCACTGTATAGCCTTTTGAAATGTTTGAAGTTTGCATTATGTGCATGTATTATTACCTATTCAGAGAAATAAACGAAATTTAATTTTGAAAAGACACACTTAGGCATAGCAGCCTGAATCCTGTGAGGTCTTTGCACACATCATTCATGTGCAGAGACAATGCCATAGAGGGAATAGATGCAGATCTTTCTCCTCCTGAAGGACAGAAATCATACAATTATTGAACAACCGTTTATCAGACAGTGAACATTTTATATCACCTTTCTATAAGGCCTTAAGCCTCTCACCCATGCTCACCCACAGCAGCAGACCTAGCTGTCATCAAAAAGTGATCTAATTAAGCTGTCACACAATCTGAACATCTCCTGTGACCCATAGGGACCTGGTTATTGGAGGTTTGTGGAGGTGGCTCTGGGTTAAGGCAGAAAGGAAGAGAAATCAATTACAGAGACTGTGGGCTGTGGCAGGGTGAGGTGGGGTGAGTGGGCATGGGAGGAGGCTCTGGGGGCAGAGGTGGCCGGATGACGTGGAACAGTCATCCTGATTGTGCAGAGAAGGTCAGTGAGCAGGTTTGCCTGGACAGGGCAGCCCAAGGACACCGTGGGCCAACAGCTCTGCATTGCTGTGCTCTTTGATGGATCTGAAAACAAAAACAAAAATCCAAGGTCGGGAGAGCTTAGCCCAGCGAGCCTCTGACAACCTGCTCTAGAGTTGCTGCCAGGTTCTTTTCCCTGTTGGGCTTAGTGGGTTTACAAATAACACTGTTTAAAAGTGGACTCAGAGAAGCTCCCGTGCACTCAGGACTCTATTTCCTAGACTGCAATGGGCAGCTAGAAAATGCTGAACATCACAGGGGAACAACTGTTGATTTTTTTCCTTCCCCTTGGAAAACAGTTTAGCAAAACAAAACAAACAAAACAAAAAAACTCATACAGGAGCAAGGTAAGCCTTTTAAAACATAAGCCACCAATTGGTGGCTCCTGATGGCCAAGGAGTGGCTGTGCACCTCTTTCCCACGTCCTGCCTGCCCATACCTACCCAGGAGAAAGCCCGTCCCAGGCACATCCAGCCTCCTGACTTCTTTGTTATCTTATCCCCGTGGAGTAAGAGTTGCTGGAGCAGCTGCCCCTAACCTGTGGGATCCCTGGGGGTTTGGGATCAAACACAGGGGTCAGCAAACTTTTTCTGTCAAGGCCATTTAGTAAGCTTAGTAAACTACAGGTGTTGTAAGCCAAGGGGCAAAATGGAGGATAATACAGAGATACATTATAGGTACTAATAAAACAATTTCCTTCAAATTTTTGACCAAATGTAAAATATTATAGTAATAATCGAGTACTTTTTTTACAGGGGGTAATATAGGTCTGCTATTGAAAAGAATGATTTTTTTTTCTTTTCACAGGATGGCATTTGGCTTAATTTAGGTTAGATGATAGTGTTTTCTGTCATCAAATATTCACTTGTAGGAAGCAGCCCTAGCTCCTGGGCCATGCTGGTTTCCCCTTAATCTTACACAGGGGAGTGTAAACCCATATGGGCCCCATCTATTTTTCTGTAGAATAGATATTATTTTTTGAACATGTATATCCTGCAAATAGATGTCACTATGATTATATAACATACAGACTAATTTAAAATAATTATTACACTCAAAGTAGCCCTTTGTCTTTATGGATCTTCTCAGTCAACAGATACCATCCTATGGGGTGATGATGGTAGTGGTAGCATTATTGACAACAGTGAATCATCACACGAAAAAGCAAGTTATGCCCAGAGCTCCTGCCCTGGGGTGTATGTGTGGCTGTCGGGCTTCAAAACTACTGACACAGAGAGGCCAACACTTATTCACTGCAAGCTTAGTCTCTTAAGAGAGGTAGTGCTGGATTTAAAACATGGCGATGATGACCTGGCAGGGCGTCAGCTAAACACTAGCCGAATCATGGTCTTCCTTACTCTTTTGTGTCAGAGTGTCCACTCAGTAGAGGGTTGGAGGATCCAGAATCAGAGCCTGCCCTCAGCCTGAAGAGTGAAGGTGCTGGCCATGAGAGCTCAAGGAGGGGCAGGCAAGTGAGATGGAAGCCAACTGAGGAAGGAAGAAAAAGCACCCGAAGTGAGCCTGTCTTTCTCCAGGGTGTGTTGGGAGCGGGCACATGTGTAACCTCATTTTATTTTTGTTCTGAACAATACCACTGTGCTGGCTGGCTGCAACTAGGTGCTTTCCCCTTCGGGTTCTCTGAGTGTAGGGGCAGGTCAAGGTGGGGAAGGGCTCAGGGTCCTCTTCATGGTAGGCTCTTACTGCTTATTTCCCCCCAAAACACTCGCCCAGTGTCTCACCGCCCTTCATTGTTGGGCACATATACACATGAACAGGGCCTCAGGATTTTGGAAAAATGGCAATGCACTGGGAACTTTTCAGTCATCAGAGCCATTTGCCATATTTTTTTCCCCCTGAGTGCACTTGGATGTCCCTAGTGGGAGAAAGTGCTCCTCCACCTGTCATAGTACCCAAACTACAAACAATTAGAGCCTTAAGCTGTGTTGAGTGTGGATCTTCTGATTCCATTTTGTGTGGGTTAAGAACCATTTGAGGTAAGAAAAATAGATTTTGTTCTCACAAATGGGAATTTATCCTTTAAGAGACCTGTCTGAAAAGTGTTGGCTCTTAAGAAAGAAGACTGTGTTCTGAATTCTGGGGAACCTCAAGTGTCCACGAACAGGAGTTAGTCAAGAGCAGTTACGATCTGCATGTTTCTTTTGTGGGTTTTGGTTTGCAAGGCTCTGTCATAAATTATTATTTCTTTAGGTTCTTTGCCTCTATTTGGGGAGAGGCAAGACTAAGAAGGTTAGGATGCCTTGCCTTCTGTCTTATGTTCTGGACAAAAAGGATGTATGTTAATGTACAAGGCTGTGAGAACGACATCAGTATGCTCCAAACATGCAGGTACAACTGATTAGAAGACGATCACTAACTTTCTTCATGATATAGCCTGGGAATCATTTTACTGTTGTGTTTGTGGACCCACTGGGCAGGTACTCACTAGTTTCCAAAAACTCCTTTTATCTTTTTTTTGTAAACCTTCATGGCCTTGGTGATTCTGTTTCCTCTGCCTGCCCTTTGCCAGGCTGTGGCTAAACCCCACTCATCTTTTAAAGCCCAGCTAAACGTGACCTCCCTTTGCAACCTTCTTTTCCTCATTTTAACTCTTCCTTCCACCTCCACTTCACAGGCAGGTCAGAAGAAATGATTCTTTTTTTACCTTTAGAATAATTGCTTTTATTTTGCATATTTTTTATTCTGTGCTTATTTTAGTTAGTTTATTTTGCTTTCCTATTCTCTCATACTTCCCACACCCCCATCAGCTCATTCCAACACACATGCACACAAATTTCAATTATCATGAGCATATTAAGTGAAAGGATTAAGTATTATTTACCTATAATTTTTGTTCTAATATTATGTACTCTGAATACATGCCTTGGATTTTATTTTTTCCTTCACACATCCAATTCCCCTGCTAGTCTCTTTCAAAGCTTTTACTTTGTTTTCTGTAATTAATTTACATCAAATACTGTGCTTAGCTTTTTTCTTCAGTATGTCCTCATCTCTACTATTTCTTTTTCCCTCCCTCCCCCTCCCTATCTCTCTTCCTCTGCCCTCTCCTCCCTCCCTCTCCCTCTCTCTTTCCCCAGCTAGTTCTCTGAATCATATTGTTGTTTTGAAAAGGATGAAAATTCTTTCCAGACTGAAACTTACCTTTTGTATACTTTGGCATACTAAACACACACACACACACACACACACACACACACTCTTAAAAAATACAACAGTTTGTGAAATAGAAAGATAAAATGCTTTCCTGACAGATGAAATTGCAGTTACTGGTTCCCTAAAAGTCATTCTGGTCACATAACTTCCAAGGATCCCACAAGCACTTGGGTAGCACCTAATGCCCTATTTCTTGGCCATCTTGGGAAGTGGGTAAACTGCTACACAGGCTACTGGCACAGGAGATTAAAAGGTAGTTCACTAATGACACAATGTGCATTTAAAACTTTCTCAAAAGTCAGAGGGAGTAACTCAAGCTCATTAAAAACTGTGATTGCTCTAAGAAAATGGGAAGTCATCTTATGCTCAGCATGGGGCTGAACAGGAGCTGCTTTGCATAGTTTTGAGGGAATATCTATATCTTCCTGGATTCCGGCTCCTTCCTGTCTTTTTCTTTGGGCAACAAAAGCCTTGCCAGGCAATAACTAGCTTTATTGATGCATGAGTTATTCTGTCCTTCGGAACAGATGTTGCATCACAGGAGACCATCATTCAAAGAGCAACTTTAAATACTTGAATCACACCACAGCTTCATAAATTATTAACACGATTCCATGTTGTGATTCTGAAATGTAAAGATGGGAAATGAGAGAAAAACACAGAACCAGGGAGAAATTTAAATGGTGAAATGCCAAAGTTACCCAGACAAAAAAGAAGTACCCCATTATGAGAAAGATGATTAAATGAATAACCAAATGTTACTTCACTGGATTTTTTTTCTCTACTTACAGAATTATGCCTTCCAAACTCAGTCCCACAAAAGAATTTCTTTCAACTGTGTGGATGTTTATATTGTCTTGAATGTCTCTAGAAAAAAGTACAGGCAGATTAGGTGTTTATGTCAGCTCTACTCACGTAACCTTCCCACATTGAGTTTACTTGTCATGATGTGATCTTTAGCTGAGATAATGTTTGAGTAGTTATTGTTCTGAAGGATGATGAGTTCAAAGCTTGGGAAATGACATGTAATTTATCTGTAGTATATTAGTTATTAACAATGGAATTATACACATACAGTATCTTCTCTCTGAAAGTTTTCTTTGTTAATTTTATTGCGTTAAGGTTCTAACACTTTTTATCCTTGTCTCCGGTGTCTGCTCAAATACGGCAAAGACACTTGATCTGACCTTTCATCTCCTTGCCAAATTTCACCATTCACCCTAATTGGGCCTTCATCTTCTTCCCATCTCAATCCCCTTTTTAGAGCTTGCTTCCTTCCTGCTGTTCTCCTTGGGTCACAGACAAATTTTGTTGTTGATTTTTCTGTCCTGAACAAAAGGCTGGAGAGTCTCGTTTTTCTGTCTGCATCCCTGTTCATCCCATTAAGATTCCCCTGTTGGGTCTGATCTAACATATACATAAATGTAGACATAGCAAATTGTTTGGAATAATTTGAGACATTTTGAGAAATTTTTTATCTTCCTGTTTCCCTCCTAATCTCTCTTTTTCCTTCCTTCCTTCCTTCCTTAGCTCCTTCTGCCCCTGTCCTACCATTTCCTTTCAGGTCTGTCCAGATTCTTACAATTTAACTTGAAAATAAGCTTGCCATTATACATTGCCTTTCTCCTCCTCTTTCAAAATACAGATGCCTTGAGAAAAGCCAGCTACATTATGTCACTAAGATAGTGTGAATTTGTTTGTTAGGTGGTTTCCTTATTGCTCTGGCAGCATGGACATTCTGGGGGAGGACATCATGGAAGAGGAGAGGATGACGGAAGACAGGGAGGTTGCTGGGGGAAAGGTACATAAGGCACTGAATAGCGAAGAAAGGAGAGACTGCTTGATTTGCTACGAGCTGGCTCTGCTGATACCTGTCTAATTGAGGAGCCTGCTGATTTCCTCCAAACTGAGATTAGTTGGCCTTTAGGTAAAACCAAGGACACTTGCTGTTTGCCTTCCTATCTCTGCTCATCCAGAACAACATATTTGGAAGATGTGGACTACACAATGCATATTATAGGCCCAGAGGCTGTTGGGCAAGACAGCTGCTGAGTCAAATGCTGGTAATTGCTCAAGGAAAAACTTACAGTAGAACTTTTTGAAGAGATTGAATCTTGTGAAAAGTTGGCAAGTGCTTAATACCTGTGTTGGATATTAACCTAGAGAGAGATAAAATGAGAGTGAGTTAAAACTAAAGCTGGATATTTTAACAATTGCTAAAGTATAAGTAAGCTTTCCATATTTAAAATACCAATTTTGAGCTATCTTGAGAAAAACCTGCCAGAATATCCTATAGTATACCTGAATCATGCTCACGTTTTCTATTTCAAGGCTTTAACTAGGGTCTAGTAAACTGTTGGCTCCTTAGGGAAAAGAAACATGCACTTTAGGCACAATGGGGCTAGTATGCCATGATGCACACTTTTAGTCATCTATTTTAAAATTAAGAAGTTAATAAGATCCAAAAGCCATTTTCAACTTGATAGCAAACTTTTCCTGAAACATTCTTTGTTTCTGCCCTCCTCATACTCTTTGGAGGAGGTTAGAAACCTTCCCCATTGCAAAGGATTCTGTTGAGTTTAGAGCATGAGATCCATGCCCTTTCATACCAGAGTATGTGTGCAGCCCTCTCCCGGGAAAAGGTTGGAGTTTGATTAGAGTGGAGTCCACTGCTGCCATCACCCTTACGAGACAGTTCGTAAATTTCTACAGCTGAACTTTCCAGAGCTACACTGGATCCTTTCCAAGGCCTTCTTGTCTTGGTTTGGGTCCCCCAGAAGCCTGAGATGGAGGTTGACCCATAGGTAGTGTATTTTGGATAATGTGAGTTCAGAGAGTTTGGGATGGGAGAATAAAACAGGGAGGGAGGAAAGATGATTAATACAAAGATGAGTTACTGAGTTGGCCACCACTCTTGGAGACTGATCCTCAAAGCCAAGGACTTGATTTAGAAGATTTTCAAAATGGACCTCAAAACTGTTGCTCTGAATAGGGGAGAGAAGTATTTGTCCATAGACGATGATTTCCTTTTAGCCCCATGTGTCCTGATGTTCTCAACTTTCTACTCTTGCCCTGCATGCTTGTGAGCGCCCAGTGAGTTCCTACTGGGTAGCTCTTAGAGTGGCGTAGAAGGACCCCTGGGATACACTGGTACACAAACCCAGGCTACGTGTTATTCAGTTGTACCTGCATCACACTGGTTGAAATTAGGGTGGAACTGACTGCCACAGCAGTGGTGATGAAGGTTTTTAAGTGGCACTGGAGAGTTGTCTGACACACTGTTCCCCAGCATTTCCCTCACTCTGCGAGTTACTCAGAATGCTTCCAATATCTGCCCACTCCCATTTACCTTTCCGTGTGTGGCTTACCTAAGCTGGAGGTGGTCATGATTGCCTGTAGTCTAAAAAACCCTCACTGGGACTCTAATCATTGTGAAAGACTGTGTCTTTTGGGGTTTATGATTTTAGAGTAGACTTTCATCTCTTGTTCTCTGTTTCTGTATTTAAAGAGTCAGGGATTTCTTCCTCTGGGCTTTCTGGAATTGTTTTCAATATTTTTTCCCCTCTTGGTTCCCAATTATCTACACAGAACCCATCTTGGTCAATTCTTCTTTTGATTTATGTACTTCAACTGCCCTTGAGATGCTTTTTATTTGTTAACCTGATTTTTTTGGATGATTTGTTGTTATTTACTTTAAAAATTTACACACATAAAAATTAATTGTTTGGTAGAGAGATCTGAGTTCACACAAACACTTACAGCCATGGAACCACCAACACACTGAAGGTGCAGAATAGTTCCATTATCCTCCAGACTATATGGTGTGGGCCCTTTGCAGGTAATCATTCTTTCTACCTCCTAAACTAGCAACTACTAGTTTACTTCTGTTCCTGTACTTTTGCCTTTTCCAAACTGTCATCAGTGCAATTATAGATTATGAAACTTTTTGAGTCTGGATTCTTTTATACAGTGCAACTTACTTAGATTCTTCCATGTCATTGTGTGTATCAGTTCATTGTTTTTTATTGTTGAGTACTAGTCCATTGTATGACTGTACCACAGTGTATCTGTTCACTGGCTGAAGGGCACATAGGTTGTTTCTACTTTTTGTGATTATGAAAAAAAGCTGCTTGAAACTTTTGCGAACTATGTGTGGCAGGGTGTGGGAGAGTGGGGGAGAAAGAGAGAAGGAGGGAGGGAGAACTTTATTTCTCTTGGGTAAATAACTATGAGTGGGATTTCTGGTTTGTATGGTAAATGTATGCTTAACTTTATAGAAACTGCCAAACTGCTCTCTGAAGTGGTTGCACCATTTTGCATTTCCACCAGCAATGTATGAGTTCTAGTTGTTCTACATGATTTGGTTATTTTATTAAAAATATTCATTTACATATTTTTTTAGAGACAGAAAGGGAAGGAGAAAGAGAGGGAAGAGAAACATCAATGTGTGGTTGCCTCTCATGTGCGCCCCCTACTGGGGATCTGGCTCAAAACCCAGGCATGTGCCCTGACTGGGAATCGAGCTGGCGACACTTTGGTTCACAGGCCGCTGCTCAATCCACTGAGCCACACCAGCCAGGGCCATCCTTTGGTTATTTTAAAAAATATATTCTTTAATACAAAAGTAGTATCTATTTATTGTAGGACTTATGAAAAGTATGGAAACATCTATAGAAGAAAGTAAAAATTATCTCTAGTTTCACTACCCAGAGATAGCTTTCTGTTAACCTTTGGAGTTTGAAGTTGTCATCCAGAACCAATAGTTTTCAGGGTTGCTCTCTATAACCTCTGAGATTCCACTAGTCCCCAGCAGAAATATTGCCACAACTAAATATCTACTAGCTTGACATAGTCCTACTCCACATTTGTTATTTAATCCTATCAGCCTTCTATTTTTAGATCTCATGTGTCTATGTAACATTCCCTTAATGAAACATCAAAACAAAGATCATATTTAATATTTTCTTACAATCTATACTACTGTGTGCAGATTTGGAATGCAGTATGTGTTCATAAAATATTGAGTTAATTGGTTGATATTCCTAAAATGTTTCTCACTTCTGTCACCAAGAACGAATCAAAATCCTTAGTTAATTTGCTTGTCAATTATCACTGCTACTTAGACTAAGTAATCTTAAACAGAGGCAGGGAGGTTTGGAGGCCAGGAATCAGGAGAACCAACATGCATCTCTGGCATAAACTATGTACAAGCCATTTCATATCTCTAGACTGGAAAGGAGGCGGAGTGGGTAAATATCCACATAGACATTGTATCAGACAGCTCTGCGCCCTGCTTCACATCCTGTTAGTCCATTTTTCACTCTAGTTGTTATCGTCTTTTACTCTAGTAACCAGCTACAGACAGGTTTAACCTGGCAGACACTAGCCTCAGCTGTGCCAGGTGTCTCTCTTCTGTTTTTTGTTTCTGTTGGGCTTCTCCTTCACCCCGGAGTGGGACACTTATGGGAATCTGTTTCACCATTCAGAGGCAAGTGCAGGTCAGGAAGTGCAAGGGAGTTAGCACTCCCCAGGGCAACGCTTGAGTGGTGGTGACCTCCTCTCTTCCACTCCTTGGGTGAATAATTCTGAATGTGTTCTAAATGACACCGTAGAGGGGCTCTGGCACATTGAGCCCTGGTTTCTTGGTGGTGATCAGCTGGTAATACATTCTTCAGGTGGCTTTCCATCTTTCCTTATTCACTTCTTAGTCATCCAGTCTTTCTTGGGTTCGGGTATAAAAACAAACTACTTGCATGTATATCCTTGCTCGACATATTTTAGAGGACCAAGGCTAAGACATACCGACTTGCACTGAATCTCAAGTTTCACACAGGTTCGCTAATGGTTGCTGTCTCCCTGTGCTCCAAATCAGTCTCCAGTTGCAGCCCAGCTCTGTTTCTTTTCTTTTAGAGTCATGTTTCTAGAGAGAGCTGTCTTGGTCTGCCTGTGCTGTCTTCATTTTCTTATATCCCGTTAATCTCCAACCTGCTCCAATTTGTTCCTGTTTACGTTTCCCCACCAAGTCTACTTTTGTCACCCCCCAATTTCATCTACCCATGACCGATAAATCTAACACATAATGTAAATTCTCATGTTTTAGATCTCTCAGGAGAATGCAGCACTCTTTTCTAGTTTCTCTCTTCCATTAGTTTCTGTTATATTGCATTCTTCTGTTATTCCTTCTCCTTTTGTGATACTCCTTTTTATTTTTTGTTGTTGATTCCCCATCCCGTATATGTACTCTGAGCCTTTGACTTTTTTCTCTGTAGACTTTCTGGGAAGATCTCACTTCTCAAGGCTTTAAGTACTGTCCATACGTGGCAACTCCTAGATTCATACTTGACTACTGGCCTCTCTAGTCTGTCTCAGAACTAAAGTTTTGATAGGTGTCCTTCTGAATATCTCATTGACATACAGGTCAAAGTTGTTCCCTCCCATCACTTCCACCAAACTGCTCCTCCTCAATACTTCTCATAAATAGCACTCCCATTTATCAATTGTTAGGAATGTGGCCGTTCATCTTGGCCTCTTCACCCTCACTCCCCAACATCTAACCCATCTCAAAGTCCTCTTAGATTCCACTTCCAAAATACTTCCTGATTGCATACAATTTCTTTCGTCTTAGCTGACACCATTCTAGAACAAGCCACCATGATCTTTCCTCTAGATTTCTGCCATAGTCATTTAATCTTCTTTTCTAACCTATTCTCCATCCAGCACACAGAGCATTCTTTAAAAAGATGTAAAACAGATTTCTTTTGTTTTCTGCTGTTCTTTTGTTACTTTCCATAGTAAAATGTATACTCCTTACTGCCTACTCTTGTACCCTCATCTCATGCCATTCCCCCAGTACACTTTAGCACCAGTTGCTTTCTCAATTCGTCAGATACACCAAGTTCTTCCTGTCTCCAGATGTTTGCACATGCTCTACCTGGAAGGCTCACCACCCACTCTTCAGTTGGCCAGCCTCAATTCACCCTTCAGGCTTCAGTGAGAAATGGAATTTCTTCAGAGAAGAGCTTCCTGACTGCATTCGAAAGTAAGGCCCCTGATTTATTCCCAGTATAATGATATCCATTTTAACACTCATCAAATTCTGAACTGTATATTGTTCTGTGTTTATTTATTCAGAGCCCATCTTGTCAGCCAGACTGTGAAT